TCAGATTAATTCAATTTACTTTCACACTTCGACTTCGCGTCGAACTTTTTCAGACATTCTGAATATATAGCACATAATATCGATATCAAATCGACTTGTCAATAATTGGTCGAAATTCGTGTCCATTTTTAAATCGAATCGACTACGAATTTCAACCGTCGATCGACTAGTATAATCGACGTCGAATCGATGTCGATTCGACAAGGTATTTCTGACTGGGGTAGTCCACAAGTTAGTGGCCTCTAACGAACCGAGATATTTATCAATTTTTTCCTTTGATAAGCTCCCAAAACAGAATCATCGTTTACAGGAAGTAACTGAAGCAAATCTCCAAATAGAAGAATGTGTTTTCCACCGAACCAACTGTCATCAGAATTAATAGTGTCAAATATTTGACATAATCGAAGATGTACGTACATTAAAGTCAAATTAGATATCATCGACACTTCATCAATTATAATCAGAATAACATCTTTGAGATCTGCTCGTAAAACTTTTAATACATGATCAGATAATTGTTTATATTTAGGAATAAAACCGTGTTCAACAGGCAATTGAAGTAGTCTATGAACTGTCAAACCGTCTACGTTAAATGCTGCAATACCAATAGGAGCTGCTATAGCAGTATCTTTCTTAAGATTTTGTTTTATCCAGCATTTAATAGTTTGAATTAAGAAACTTTTTCCTGTACCACCTTCTCCGCTAACGTATAATCGTAATGGTGATTTATCCAATCTTACAGTTGTAACGACTTTATCAAACACACGTGTTTGATCTGGATTTAATTTTGCTATCTTATCACATACATTGACATCTTTATCTATTTTCTCACCAAGATCTTTAAAATCTTGCATTGCTTCACCAGCTTCTATATTTTGAATACCTATTGGATTTACTGGATCATCTTGCGATATATTCTGTTTGTTTAATAATTCGTTGTCTAGATATTCCTGAACCAACTGTTTTGCAGTTTCAAACGCTTTTTGCAATTCTTCTATTTTTTATGATATTGTAATGCTTCTACAAGATGTAATTTTAATTTGTGAAATGATTCCGTATAATTATCACATTCGTTTCTAAAATCTTCTAATCTTCGCCATGGTTTAAACATGAGTAATAATGCAAAGAAATAATTCTCCGGTTGTGTATTAACGTCGTACTTGTAATGATTAATAAGATATCCACGTTTTCGCCGTTTAAGATATATACCTTTACTTATTTTGTAATATACGACATACTTATTTTTCGGTTTAATTTTCGTGATGTCATACCACTTTGCAAATTCATAAAGAGACACATCTTCTAATTCTGTCGGTCTTATTGGATAATAAGTATCTATCAAAGATGGACAAAATAACAGGTGGGCTGAAAAGTTCGTAGGCTAATAAAGAAAATAATATTATTTTGATAAAAGTCAATTTTTTTATTCAATATAATTGCCTTCAAGGTCAATACAGCGATTATAGCGGTCACACAATTTCTTAATACCATTTTTATAATAAGATTTGTCTTTATCCTTAAAATAGGCTTCAGTTTCAGCAATCACTTCTTCATCACTGCTAAATTTCTTTCCAGCAAGCATTCTCTTGAGGTCTGCAAATAGAAAATAGTCACTGGGTGCTAAATCC